CCCACCTCGTCTTCTGCAACCCTTTGTTTGTTTCCCAGAGTTAGGAGGCTCTCATGGTTTGTCTCCCTCTCTAGTTTTTCCCACTCAGTTCCTCTCCTTTCCCTAATAGTCCCTTTCACTATTTCTTATATTCCATGTATGAGTGAAATCATATGATGATTGTCCTCCAATTGATTTATTTCACTCAGCATAATACCCTCCAGTTTCATCCACGTCAAAGCAAATGGAGGGTATTTGTCTCTTCTGATGGTTGAGTAATATTCCATTGTGTATATATATACTACATCTTCTTTATCCATTCATCTGTCATCATGGCTTGTGGACATTGCTGCTATGAACTGGGGTGCAGGTGTCCTGTTGTTTCACTACATCAGTATCTTTGGGGTAAATTCCCAGTAGTGCAATTACTGGGTCATAGGGTAGCTCTACTTTTAACTTCTTGAGGAACATCCACACTGTTTTCTAGAGTGGTTGTACCAGTTTGCATTCCCACCAACAGTGCAAGAGGGATCCCCTTTCTCCACATCCTCTCCAACATTTGTTGTTTCCTGTCTTATCAATTTTTTCCATTCTCACTTGTGTGAGGTGGTATCTCATTGTGCTTTTGATTTGTATTTCCCTGATGGCAAGTGATGCGGAGCATTTTCTCATGTGCTTGTTGGCCATGTGTATGTCTTCTTTGGAGAAATTTCTCTTTATGTCTTCTGCCCATTTCATGATTGGATTTTTTGTTTCTTGGGTGTTGAGTTTGATAAATTCTTTATAGATCTTGGATACTAGCCCTTTATTTGATATGTCATTTGCAAATATCTTCTCCCATTCTGTAGATTGTCTTTTAGTTTTGTTGACTGTTTCTTTTGCTGTGCAGAAGCTTTTTATCTTATTAAATCCCAATAATCATTTCATTTTTGCTTTTGTTTCCCTTGCCTTCATGGATGTATCTTGCAAGAAATTGCTGAGGCCAAGTTCACAAAGGGTGTTTCCTGTGTTCTCCTCTACGATTTTGATGGATTCTTGTCTCACATTAAGATCCTTCAACCCTTTTGAGTTTATCTTTGTGTATGATGTAAGACAATGGTCCAGTTTCGTTCTTCTGCATGTGGCTGTCTAGTTTTCCTCCCCCATAGATTTATATTAGTAGTATGTCTGCAGCCTTCCAGAATTTAGGAAAACTGATAAGTCAACAGGTATCCAGAAAATTTCTCATAGTATTTTAATTATAGTAGTTAACATGAGCATTTCTTGGTGATTAACTGACAAACCCATTCAGTACATGTTTGACCCCTCCCCAGCCAGATGATGGAGGACCAAACCTCGGTCTCTTTGAGGTGAGCAAGATCATCAATTTGGTGATCTTGTAAATTGGCTTTCTCTGTCTAGGTATTTTTTCTGTGGTTGCAGTTCAGGTTGTGGTTCAGGAAATCACTCCTCTGAGCTATGTTATAAAGGAAGCTCAGAACCAATGGGGGACCTTATTGTTACTGCTAAAAACTGGCCACTGAGAAATTATAATCCAGAGGTATCATTCTAGGAACAAGCATCCTATCAGTAGACTGAAATGTTCAATCAGACAAAATGGTGACATTGGACAGCCCGGGATGGCTCAGAAGTTTAGCGCCACCTTCGGCCCCGGGGTGTGATCCTGGAGACCTGGGATCAAGTCCCACGTTGGGCTCCCTGCATGGAACCTGCTTCTCTCTCTGCCTGTGTCTCTGCCTCTCCCTCTCTGTGTCTCTCATGAATAAATAAATAAAATCTTTTTTAAAAATGGTGACATCTCAGCTTCATTCCTTATGGTAAGGATGATCTGAAGAGGTGCTGGTGTCTTAATAATTTGACATTATTTTTTAAAAAGATTTTATTTATTCATTCATGAGAGACACAAAGGGGGAGAGAGAGAGAGAGAGAGAGAGAGAGAGAGAGAGAGGCAGAGACATAGGCAGAGGAAGAACCAGGCTTCCTATGGGGAGCCTGATGTGGGACTTGATCTCAGAACCCTGGGATCATGCCCTGAGCCAATGGCAGATGCTCAACCACTGAGCCACCCAGGTGTCCCAATATTTTGACATTCTTATCAACTTTTTGCCCATGGATTAGGTCAGTGGTTCTCAGACATAACATGCATCAGAATTACCTGGAGGGCTTGTGAAAACATGGATTGCCAGGACCTATTCCCCAGTTTCTGATTCAGTAGGTCTGGGGTGGGTGAGAATCTGTATTTATAACAAGTTTCAGGTGATGGTGATGCTGTTGTTCTAGAGATTTGACTTTGAGCACCTGACAGACAAACTTGTCTGTAATGGCAGGGGCTCAGGAAATTTCTACCCTGTGTGCTTTACCTTCTGTTCATTTTTTCTGCTCAGGTGCTGCCTTTTAGATTATGTTGTCTTATTTTTTTTTTCATTCCTTTATGGTCTTAGTTATTTTTAGTGGAAATTTAGAGGTCCAATCTTATTCAATATTATCCTCGCTATTCATGCCAGAATGTGTTTGCTTAAAATACAATTCTGGCCATTTACCCAATTAAAACTTTTAAAAAATATCCTAACCTCTCAAAATACTTATTTAAGGATATTATCTTACCTGTGTCTTCAGCTTCTTATTTTGCTTTATCAGTTAGGATGCTTTCATCCATTAAGCAACACAGATAACTGAATCAGTTAGGTCTTGGTACATGATATACCATCCCAAAACTCAGCAGCTCAAAACTTGCTCATGAGTCTATGGGTCAGCTAGGCAGCTTTTCTGGCCTTGGCTGGGCTCTCTCTTAAGTCTGTGGTTAGCTGGTGGCTGAGTAGGCAGCTCTGCTGATCTTGTCTTGGCTCGTTCTCATGTTTGGGTGTCAGCTAGCTGTATGCTGGTCTAGAATGACCTTAGCTGAGACAACTAGGCTCTCTTCCATGTGGTCTCTCATTCTCTACAAGCTGGCCCAGGCTGGTAGTCATGACAATGGAAGAATTCCAAGAGAGCAGAGACAGTAAATGCCTCCTGTGGTCTAGGCTCAGAACCAGCATACCATCACTTTTGTCACTTTGTATTGGATAGAGCAATTCTTGCAGAGTGGGCAGATTTTGCAAAGTTATAAGGCAGAGAGCATGCATTCAGGGATGTAATTAATTGAGACATTCAATGCAATTTACTTGTTCACAAAGTAAAAGTTGCTTATACCTTACATAGATTAATTATCTCACATGATAAAAGCCAAGATTCAGTGCAGAACATAAATTTGGCTGACTAAATAACTCAGTAATGCCATTGAGGGCACAGATACTTTTCATCTTTCCTCTCAGCCATTCTCAGTCTATTGGCTCATCCTCAGGCTGGCTCATTTCAAGGTTTCAAATGGCTGTCCACAGTAATTAAAGAAATATGCTTCAGAGTTTGCATTTGATAGATTCATTTATCCAGGAGCCCATAGAAATTCTCTTTTTGTGTTGCATTGGTTCAAATTGGCCCATGCCTACCCATTTTTAAAGCAATCATATGTTTTGTGATGTATTTAAGAGACTTTCAGACCAAAAGTGGCTTAAATAACTGAGGCCATCCATTTCTCATTTAGAAAGAAGTCTCAAGTTCTTTCATGTACAAACAAAGTTAGAGTTATGGCGGCCTGGGATAGGTTCATTAGGTTAATGTCATTGGGTAGTCAGGCTCCTCCTATTTTTCTTTGTTACTTTAAGTGCTAATGTTCTCACCTCTCATCTGCAACTCCAAGCACCGTGTCTTTACTCAACACCTAAAGGTCAGAAGAAAAAATATGGGGAAGAGAGTTAGCCTCATGCTTTCCCTCTTTATATTAAGTGGGAAAATCTATGTCAAAAGTCCCTGAGCAGGTCTCCTCTTATGTCTAAATGGCCACATCACTCCTTTTGGCTGCAGGGGAAGCTGGGAAAATGGATATTGCTCTGGCACTCACTCTCTCTTGCTCTCTCTCCTTCATGAGAGGAAAACTATTTCAGCATGACTGAAAAGACAAAACAAAAAAAAAAAAAAAAAACTACTGTATTTGCAAAACTTGGTGTGTTTTGCAACCTTTGAACACATTAAAATGCTATCTCTTTAAATAAAGGTCTACATAACTCCAGATACTTGGCCTTTATGCACTTGAATTAACTACACAATGGAGGCTTAGATATTTCTTACTCTTATATGAGTGCAAATAAGTATTTATGAGAAGCTGAAAGAAATTGGTGCATTCAGACATTACTGGTAGATTAAGACACAAATTTTATCTGGAGAACGTTTTCTCCAGGTCAAAACATTTATTTATTGTCTGTGACTAAGTCACATGAAAATGAGACTAAATACTTGCTCTCTGTGAAGTTTGCCTTAGTTAGCATCCTTTTGCAGATAAGTTTTCCATTCACAGTACTTGCACTGGAATGGTCTAGCATTCTGATATCAGTACATTATATAGCAATTCTGTTTTGACTCTAGAGGAAGCGTCCTGTATCTTTGTTCTATCCTTCCATCTATCATTTGTCACATTTTATTGAAAAGGAGCCCTTTTCATAGGCTGACTATCTCTTAGAATCATTATTTATTCTAAATCTTACAAATGAGTTGTTGAATGAATATGTTATCATTTACAAGTTTCCATTGCACATAAGCAGGCTTATACTCAACTGAAAGGACCAGATAATTAAAGGAACAATTTAGGGACACAGAGGTCTTCAGATTGCTTAGTACATTCAAAGTGTGATACACCGCAAGACAGATTTTTTTGGGCAAAGACTTCCTCACATTTCAAAGATTTCCAATTACATAGTGATTTTAACAAATAGATTGACTTCTTCCTAAACAGTGCTCTTACTTTCTCCTGGTTGATGTCTTTAAAAAACACAGGTAAAGGAACATATTGAAAACTATCTGGCTAAAAGCATGCTACGAGACACACTATCTTACTTGTTTTTCCCTAATGGAATATAAATGATAGGTTATGAGTCACTCATCACCATTCACCAACCTAAGCTTAGCTATCAAATGCTGGCCTGGAAGTATGAGAGGCATGTGATGCAGAAGAAGAGGATATGTCAGAGAAGCTTAGAAACAAAGGGTACCCCAAGGTTAGTAAATGCTTTTCTCTTGTTAGCTAAGCCGGAGCTTCCCTTTTGAGGGGGCTGTGATTTTTAGCCACTTCAGTTAGGAGCTTAGTTGAACAACGAGAATGATTAGTTCATTTCCCAGTCAGAGGTTATTGTTGCAGGAATGGTTTTAATATACACAGGGTTTTGGCTTCGATTTTTGCTTTCAAACTCCAGCAAGTCTTGAATTGTTTATTGAATCTAGGTTGAGAAACAGAACCGAGAGATGAAGCTAATAATTGGCAAGAGTCCCAATCCTTGTGTTATTATGGTCATTAATTAGGGTAAGGGTTATGTAGGGAAAGATTGCTGATTTGAATCACTTGTTTCCAGATCTTTACTTGGGGGAAGGGACTGTAATTAGGAATTCTGTTTCTCTGTAGGTAAACAGGTATTGCATTAGGAAGCAGAAATGATGGATACTTAGTAGATAATTTGTCTCATTGGCAAATAAGTCAAGGGAGGATACACCATCTTTTCCTGATCATCATTTTCAAAATCAAAACCTCATTATATCAGTCAGTAGAATACACAGGATAAGAGAAACTTTATGGAAAATTGACAGTAAAAAATTAGTACACTGCATATTCCATTTACCTTCTTTTGGGGTAACTAAAGGCTAATGCTGCATCATCTGTGTGTGGGGGGGTCTATTTGATTAGAGAAGGATGTTTCCCAGTGTTGTATAAAAGGGCTTGACTCATATATAGGAGGGGAGAGGGTCCCAGCACTATGACACCTTAGGAGCTCTGCGTCTTAGAAACTGAGGTAACCATTGACAAATTTTCTTATTCTCTTATTTTTTTTTAATTTATAGAAAGTTTCAAGGCTTCCCAATTCAGATTTATTATAAATATGAGCAAAATGTTAGCTCACAAATGTCTGTTTTTTTCTTATTCCCTCCCAGGTGTGTCAATGATGACATGGTGATATGCTAAATGGGAGAGCATTGTGTTCTAATGTGACAGTTTTTCTGGATGAACAAATGTATATATTTTATTGATATTAGTTACATTTGGTGTTAGATAATACATTAGAGAATGAGCTTTAGTAGATACAAACATGTGAATCAACGTAGCATAACCAAACTACCACCACTACCAACAACAACACAAAATTAAAGTCCTGAAGATCTCTTTTATTTGTGAGAGAACCTCCATTGCTGGGTCTCTTGCAACATCTTTAGGGACTCCTTTTTTTTTTTTTTTTTTTTTTCTGTGCATCTAGATGAAATGATAGCAAGTAGCACAGAGCCTCAGTTAGGGCTCCTGATAAGCAATAGCCTTCATGTTATCTTTTATAAGATACTTACATGGAAACTTCAGGTTTTTAATTGAAAATACTAGTGCATGGGAGGGTGTGGTGGTGTTGTCTACGATGTATTAATGACAATAGAGTGTGTGGGTGTAATGTATGGCAAGATCCCACAGGGCATCTATCTTCAGGTATTTGAAGTGCCAGGATTGCTCACCACACCCATCTTGGTTTGGAAACTCTTCACAGAGCAGGATACTTTCAGGCTAAAGCCTAAATGAGTCCCCTTCTTTGAAAATAAAAAGAGAAAAAGTATATATGAAACCAATTCTACTTCCATTTCTAGAGTCTGGTTGATTGGGATATAAATAAGTTTAGATTCCAAAATGATGGCCATTATATTTTAGGTGGGATTGGTTAGAAATGAGCATGGAAAGATTGCTGCGGCATGCGTTTGGCAGGGCACCTAGAATCGCTTTATTTCAGAGCCTTTCCTTGGGAATTGCGTCTCTATTTATATTAATATTACTGCATCTTTCCACCTACATTTGTAGATATGATTTAAAAATTACTCATCCATCCATAGTAATTTCTGCACAACTTAGCTTCATCCATGGAGTTTAACTGACAGTCAAAAATAGAAAAAAAAAAATGTGTGTGTGTGTGTGAATGATTACTTGGCATAGAAAAAAATCCTGAGAAAAATAAACAATTACCTACCAGAAGCTAGAGTGGCCTAATAAATTGCCTCTTACCTGTCCTGCATTAATTAGGAGTTATGCTTAAGGTCTGGATCTTCATAGATGCTCCTTTTCAATTTATCTTAATTTTATCTGTGCCATGTGTGTCTTTGGGGAAGAAAAAGGATATAGTGGCTTTCAAAATTAGTGACCTAAAAATAAAATTACAGATTTTTCTAGTCCAATCCATAAGCTAAATGTAAAAAGAAAACACATAATTGCATGTCATCCATTATACTTGTCGTAATTCTCTCCTATGCCTCTTTTTCTTCAAAAGCCACCTCAATTCTCTCATGCAATTTACCTTGAATAAATTGAAAGCAACAGTTTTTTTTTGCATCTACCATAACCACTATCAATATACCTGCCTCAAGCGGTAAGAGCTTCCCAGAGCTGGGTTTATTAGGCAAACCTGATTGACCACTCTAATTATTTGATCGATAGTATGAATATTAAGAAAATAACCTTGGGGGCGCCTGGGTGGCTCAGTTGGCTAAGCATCTGACTCCTGTTTTTGTCTCAGGTCTTGATCTCAGGGTCACAGGATCAAACCCCATGTAGGGCTCTATGTTCAGCATGGAGTCAGCTTGTCCATCTCTTTCTCCCTCTGTTGGTCCCCCTACTCACACTCTGTCTCTCTCTAAAATAAATAAAATCTTAAAAAAAAAAAAAAGAATCTTGGGTGTGTGTTGAGTGATTTTCTGCATTTTTGACGTTTTGCTGGAGACAGCTATTTCCTGCCACCAAGACTGCTCCCTCCAAGGCAATCTCAACTCTCTTTTAGCAGATTCTTCTAATATTTATCTACATATTTCCAGTAAATGTTTGAAAATATCACTATTCCTTTTTCATTTTGAAGAATTATTTCTTTAACTCTTATTAATGGAATATGGTAATTTGATCATTCTTTTCCTTATCCTTAGACTAAGGAATCCTATCTTCTCTTTGTTCCAGGACATGATTTGGTATTTATTACTAGACCAATTCACTTCTTTTTTTTTTTAACACTTTATTTATTTATCCATGAGAGACACAGAGAGAGAGGCAGAGACATAGGTAGAGGGAGAAGTGGGCTCCTCACATGGAGCCTGATGTGGGACTCAATCCTGGATCCTGGGATCACGACCTGAGCCAAAGGCAGGTGCCCAACAGCTGAGCCACCCAGGCATCTGCAATATTCATTTCTATATCCCATCATAACTGAAAATATTAGTCACAGCTGAGTCATATAGTATACTATGATCATTTTTCCTTTATAATTTTTCTGGTGACAGCCATTTTCTTTATTTTTTTTCTTTGTTTTGATAATTCAAGCCCAATTTTTGTCTCAGGTCTGTATAAGATTCTCAATATGATTATAGACATTTGAAAATCTATTAATTTCATCTTTTGACATGATCTTCCAAAACATTCTGACATACTCTAATCAAGATTGATTGCTATTGCGGTGCCTGATGGTTCAGTCAGTCAAGCATCTGACTTTTGGTTTTGGCTCAGGTCATGATCTCAGGGTTGTGAGATTGAACTAGTGTCATGTTCTACACTACACATGGAGCCTGCTTCAGATTCTCATTCTCTCTCTCTCTCTCTCTGCCCCTCCCTCCTCCAAAATAATTTAAGAAAAAAAGATTGCTAACTATACTGGTGCACAGCTGCTATATTAAAAATTTTCTTAAACACCATCTTGGTTTCCCTCACCTCTTCCAAGTTTGTTTTCTATTCTCTAGAACTCAAATCAAGATGTCTTGACTCTCCTTTAACACTAAATTGAAAATTTAGTAGGATGTATAAATTTTATGGTCGAGATAATTTTTTTCAAAAAATTGTGAAGACCTTTTTTCATAGTCTCCTGCATTTAGGGGTACTGTTGTAAAATCTATTATCACAGACTTCATGCCATTTATATAAAACTCACTTTTTCTTACTACAAAATTATAGGATTTTTTGCTGGTCATAAGAGTTGACATTTCACAATGGTATATTTAGGTATGGGTCCATTTCAGTCATTATTCTGTGGACTCTGAATCCTTCTAAGTCTGGAGATGGATCTCCTATTTGAGCATGTTGTCTTGGAATGTTTATCTGATTATTCCTTTTCTACTATTGTTACCATTTTATCTGTTGTCTCTCTCTTTCTCTCTCTCTTTTTATTTCACCGACTTCATCTCCCGGACTTTATACTGAAGTTTTAAAAAATTCATTCTTTTTTTATTTCCAAAACCCTTTTATGTACTCTGGAGATACTTTTCTTCTAGAATTCTGTTCTCTTTTTTTTAGATATATTACCTCTTTGAAAATATTTTTGCTTATTTTTATTACTCCAAATACTTATACCACCAAATGTCTCCTGTTTGCTTATTTTGTATCTATTTTTATATTTATTTTTTATTTTAATATTTTATTTATTTATTCATGAGAGACACAGAGAGAGGCAGAGGGAGAGGCAAAGACAGGAGAAGCAGGCTCCATGCAAGGAGCCCCATATGGGACTTGATCCGGGGACTCTGGGATCACGCCCTGAGCTGAAGGCAGACACTCAACCACTGAGCCACCCAAGCATCCCTTGTGTCTATTTTTTAAAGATGTATTTATGTATTGGGGGGGGGGCAGGGAGCAGGACAGGTAGAGGGAGAGGGAAAGAATCTCAAGCAGACTCCGTACTGAGCACAGAGGCTGACATGGGGCTTGATCTTACCCCCCTGAGATCAGGGCTCTGAGATCATGATCTGAACTGAAACTAGGAGTTGGAAACTCTACCAACTCTGACAGCCAGATGTCCTTATTTTGTATCTATTTTTAACATTATGTTCCTTTTTCAAATGCCTGGTACCTGGGACCCTAGACTGTTGAAGTTCTTTAAGTGTGGTCTTCCTGTGTAATGATTCTGATGAGGCAATTTCCTTGTAGAAGCCTAAATATAGTACTTAAATCTTTATTCTTGGTATTGTTGATTTTTCCATTAAAGAGACGTTGTATTCCCTACATGTA